GGTGGAATTTGCGCCTTGGGAAAGTTTTTGACCTAAGCTGGTAAAAATAAGCGTAGGGGGTCTTTCATGTGGGTCCCCACATCTGTACCCCAGAGTTCAGAGTGGGGAAGGAACCCTGACAGCTTTTAAAAAAAAAAAAAGGTTGGGATGGTTTCTCTTCTAAATATTGTACTGTAATTTTTATTTCACTAGACCTCTTCCTCTTTGGTTAGGATAAACCTTAAATTACTCATGTACATGTGTAAAGTTATTCACAAGCATGTCTTTGGGATCAAGGCCTAACTCAGACACAGGCCACACAGCTGAGACACACAATAAACAGACCGAAGGAATAAGCTCAAAGTGGTGCATTTTTAATGACTTGTACACAAGAGAAACACTATGAAGCTGCATTGACATTAAGAATCTGTAATACATTCAAAGTCTGCCGTTTTTTACCTATCCCTTTATAAACAGTGTTAATATGATAAATTTATACTGGGATTATTCCCAGTTGCTGAACATGAAGTTATCCTTAACATGTGTAATAAAACATTGACACTACACAGAATGATACTTTAGTACGTACATTGTAAAACTTAATTCATCACTGCAAGGCCACAATGGAAAAATGTTGAACAGCGAAGAAGCAGCCATTTCATCAGTAAAACAGAGAATGGAAGAATCACACAAATTATAATTATTCAACAAAATACTGATTTATACAAAAAGCCAAAGATGGCATATCATCAAACATGCTTTGTTGTACAATGAACTCAACTACATTCATAGTTTTCAGAGACAGTTTAAACTGACTTCTAAATCCATGTAAAGTGGGAGTCTCCCTGAGATCAACGCTAGAGCATCTAGAAAGAGAGGGCACAGTATATAAATCCTCAATTATTGTACAAGAAGAAAAATTTACCGGACTTGGACCCAGCTGGCAATCTGGAAGAGCTTGAGTTTGGCTGGAATCTATAATACAAGGAATTCTGCATTGTTGTGCTAGATAATGGTAGGCTTGGTAAGTAAGAATAAAAAATGATTTAACAAACAAATCACATCAATGTGAAGAACACAACACATGAAAGCTGCAATCAGAACCTGGCTGGAGTGTTTGGATCTGTTTGATAGGATATGAAGCACTGGCTGATAAAAAGTACTACAATAAATAAGCCCATTCTTGATGAGGGCAAAGATTAAGTCTGCATTACTGAACTGGGGAAGGGAGTACGTTAACTTGCCAACAAGTTAGGCAAAAATTTTAGAACATACTAAAAGGCCTGACCCAACTCATGCTGAAGTCAATGTGAGCTTTTACATATGGGAGTGTGATAAAGCCCTGCTAAAGGAGTATGCCAATTTTACATTAGCAAAACCTACAAATGCACTATGCCTAGTGCCTGCAACAGCAACAAAGTCTTAGTAGCATTTAGGCATGAGTAATTTCTCATCCTTCAGAGCTAAAGAAACCTAAAGGAAACAGACACTACTGGTCTAGGTCTAGAGGAAGGACAGAGATCAGCATAACAGCAGTAAACCTGACCAAATGGTCTACAAGTGGCAGCTCAGATGGGGAACACACGTAAGGGCTTGTCTTCACTTGTAAAGTTAGGTAAGTTGACCTAAGTCACATTACTCCAGTTATGTGAATAATGTAGCTGGAGTCGACGTAGCTTAGGTCGACTTACCGCGGTGTCTTCACTGCACTGTGTTGACAGGAGACTCTCTCGTTGACTTACCTTTACTCCTGAGGGCATTCCGAGCCAAAAAATTAAAAATTCTGTGCACAATATTTTAAAATTCTGCAAATTTTATTTGTCAAATAAATGTGGAGGCTCCAGCATGGCATTGGGGAGCACAGGACACTGAGTGCATAGAGGTGGGAGATCACTGTGCAGCTTCCCCCCCCGGGACACGGGCACAGCAATGAGGCTGCACCCAATCCTGAACACAGTGGTTCACCTCTCTGCTGGCTGCCTTGGCACCTGAAACATACTGCTGGGGAGGGTCACATGACCGCTCTTGTGTCTTCCTTTTGTTTCCCCATCAGAAAGTCTGTGGGAAAGCAAAGAAATCTGCACGAGACATAAATTCTGCACATGCGCAGTGGCCCAGAATTCCCCCAGGAGTAAGGGCTTGTACACCTTACTCTTCTCAGGGAACTAGAGTACTAGGGTCGACCAGAGAGTGCTCTGTCGTTGATTTAATGGATTTTCACTAGATCCGCTAAATCAACACATGCTGCATTGATTGCAGCAGCATCAATCTCCCCGGTAGTGAAGACAAGCCCTTACTTGTATATAAAGGTGATTTTGTACACTTAAGGTTACTTGCTGAGATTATAATTTTAGAGGGATACAGACCAGCAGAACTTCCCTTATCCTTCTCTTTAAGTTCTGAGCCTCTCCCCTTTCCTGCCACCCCTCTTCAAATAATGTAAATGAGTTTGATCCAGCTTCTTATACTACACCCATGATATCTAGGTGCTCAAGGCACACTATCAAGGTGAAAGTCAGTGTTTCTCAACCTGTGGGTCAGGGTAATGAGACGGGTTATGGGGGGGTCGTAAGTGCAGGGCTGGCATTGCGGGAGAGAAGCAGGGCAATTGCCTGAGGCCCCATGGCACAGGGGGCCCTGCAAAGCTAAGTTACAAGCTAAGTTAGTTACACCCCAAGAGGTGGGGCTCGGGCTTCGGCTTCTGCCCCGTCACCTAAGGGTTAAGCCAAAGCCCAAGCCCCACCTCCTGGGGCTGAAGCATGTAACTTAGATTCACGGGGCATACTGTGGCATGGGGCCCCAGACAATTACCTGCTTGCCACCCCTCCCCCCGCCCCCGCCAAGTATTATTCGTAATTTACTAAATGATATTTCAGGTGTGTGGGGGGGTCACAAATTTTTTTCAAATCCAAAGGTTGAGAAACACCACAAGCAGGTTGAGAAACACTGATAAAAGTACATTTTTCACAAGACCAAAGAACACTTCCCCCTCCCAATTAAGAATTAAGTTTAGGTACATATCAACTTCATTTTCTGGTTCCTTTGCACTAGCAAAAACTGGTGGGTTAACAGTATTATTCAGTAAATACTACTGTTGTACAGGATGCTTTAGAACAGGGGTTGGCCACCTTCGGCACGCGGCCCATCAGGGTAATCTGCTGGTGGGCCGCGAGACATTTTGTTTACGTTGACCGTCCACAGGCATGGCCCCGCAGCTCCCAGTGGCCACAGTTTGCCATTCCTAGCCAATGGGAGCTGCAGAAAACAGCGCCGAGCACATCCCTGCGGCCCGCGCCACTTCCCACAGCTCCCATTGGCTGGGAATGGCGAACCGCAGCCACTTGGAGCTGCAGAGAGCCGTGCCTGCGGACGGTCAACGATGGACTGCATGCTGAAGGCTGCTGACCCCTGCTTTAGAAGGTATAAAATATAACAAGGTTCCTGCCCTAAGCAGCTTACACTGGCTCGGGAGTATTTTAAATTTCCTTTCCCTACTTTTTCCTTTTAAAAAAATGCTTTTAATTGAAAATTTGAAAAATCAGTGTAATAAAAAACTATTCCGTTCATAACAAGTTTTATGAGCTCAGATTTACAAAACCTATTTTTGGCCTTATTCATAAAAAAAAAAAAAAAAGAGAGAGGAGGGAGAGAGAGAGAGAGAAAGCGCTGCACAGCTCCATCAAAATATCTATCCAGCTGCCTAAGCCCATTAGGGCCCACTCTTCTAATATCCTTTTGCATCCCTCAGCACTACTGCAGATCCCAGCCCCTCCAAGTGCTAAAACCAAGGCTGGCTTCATTAAGTACTGCTTTGCTGAAGAGACAGAACATGTACCTTCAAATGATCCAAACACCCCGGACATACCATACTACACATTCCAGGAGACAGATACATTCCAACATGGCCAGCCTTTAACTTAGCACTACACAACGTGCCAGAGTGAATGACCCATGTATGATTCCTGGCAGTCATACATGCTAGCCCCACGGATCACTCAGTTCAGTTAACATTCCTTATGCAGCTGGAACACATGAACAAATACATCTTCAGAACTGAATGAAAATGACACTGGTTCTCTGCAGGCCTGTTCAACAGCCGCATTGCCAGGTTTCCACACCCTTTCAGAATCTGACAGTACTGGAAGGTTGGCTGGAAAGACCAAATTATTTTACAGGAAGGAATTTCATTCAGCCTCCAGAGACTCTCTCCTTGCTCTGAAGGTGCTCAGAATGACTGACGGAGTCACTGATGAGGTCATAAATGCACTAGAGGTGTTCATATGCTGAGTTTACCATTTGAAGACCAACATTATGACACTTGCAGAGCTACATAGGTGGATGTTTTCCAAGCAGCAGACAAACAGAGAAAAATTGCCATTCACAAGAAATGCATTTATATCTGCTATCAAGCAATGGAATAGCTCTGGGATGATCGAGTGCATCCAAAACTACCCTCTCCCACCGGGGACAGATGGGTCTTGAGGCTGGTCTACACTGGGGGGAGGGGGGGAGGAATCAATCTAAGATATGCAACTTCAGCTACGAGAATAGCGTAGCTGAAGTCGACGTAAATTAGATTGACTTACTTCCCGTCCTCACGGCGCAGGATCGATGGCCGCGGCTCCCCCGTTGACTCCGTTTCCGCCTCTTGCGCTGGTGGAGCTCCAGAGTTGACAGGGAACGCGTTCGGGGATTGATTTATCATGCCTAAACGAGACACGATAAATTGATCCCCGATAGATCGAGTGATACCCACCAATCCAGCGGGTAGTGAAGACGTACCCTTGGAGGATAGACTGATCACACCAATTATGCAGAAAATACCATGTGCTCCCAAATCAATCTTTCCGCTATTCAAAATATCATGTCCAAAGACCAGATGCTCACCGTTTTGAAAATGTCTGGCTAGCCATCTGCCTTATACAGCGATGTGCGAGTGTGACAGATGAGGATCAATGTGACAACATGTCTAGCAGTGGAGCCCTAGATGGAGATGACACACTGATGATGACTTTGATGAATAAATGTTTTCAGTCCTACATGTCAAAACTAAACTCCCTGGAATTACCAAAGGTTAATGTGTTTTTATGTAAACAATGCACTTCTGTATTCAAGAATAATTTAAAAAGGTGATATTTAATTATTTCCTCAAATATATATCCACATAATTGTTTGGGATTGTCAGGCTTCGTACCACTGTGTTCATGGGAGAAAGGGCTTTTGAATAATACCTAGCTTGACCAATTTCTGACGAGTTATATCATCAGAATTTCACTAGCAGGAGACCTGGAGATGGGATGACGGGGTGCCAATGAGACCCACCCTGCTACACTGCAGAGGGGGACACCATTGAAATTATGATTCTGTAGATTTTTACAAATCAAACAATGCCTCCCTTGCCTATCACTAACTTGCCTTTTCCCCCAAAATGAGATGTTATTACATTATGCTCCCAGACTGAAGTTACTGACATGAACCCTGACTGAGTTCAAGATAGATTTTGTGTGTGTCTATTTAAAATATATACAACAACAATTTTAAAAAACACTTTTGATAAATGAGTATAGTACACTAATAGCAATCTACAAAGAGATCAATATATTCATAGACTTCTTGTAAGCAATTCTATTTTCATAGACTCGGTAGTAAACCTGCACCATATTCTTCTGGACACACTTTACTATTATCTCAATAGCTGTTGCAACACTATATCCTCTTCTTTTCAAATGTTTCACTATTTAATTTTCCAGAGGATCCAAAAACAGCAGTGAAAAATGAAAAATTCCAGTCAACTGGACCAAAGAGCCGCTGAGTTGATCTGTAAATCCAGTATGGATTAAGTATTAATGTAAGTGTACTTAACCCCATGAAAAAGACGATAAAATGTGGAAGTCCCAGATTTTCTACTACATCATTCCAATTGGAAATACACACCCACCACATGTGATAAATAAGGACCATGCGGCAGTGTTGCATATGGATCAGTACCCATTGGTTTGCCTTCCATAAAAGGGTATTAGCATAGCCAGTCTGAAGAGAAAACAACAAAGAAAGAGAAATGAGATTGCACCTTCGAGATAAAGCAGTCAGCATTTTCTAGAAATAAGATCTATATTACATAGAAATTAGATATATATTAACTTGTCTGTTGTGTAAACTGCCATACAAACATTCTCTCAATCATATTCCTCGAGTGCTAAGAGATTGCACATTTATATAGAATTTTTGTCCAGCAGAATTCTAAACCACTTTGCAAACTATGTGCATACAGCTTCACTTAGATGCAGCCACCTGTTGGATGGAGGAAGACAATCAAAACAAAGCACCTCTCACAAAAGTGGAGAGGGGGTAACAAGATCCGGGAAGTTTTGGCCAACACCACCCATGGCAAACCATGACTCTCTGACTGCTCTAGGATCTATATGCACAGACAGGACCTCCATGTTTAAGGGCTCATTAAAACCACTGCGGTGATCCTGCCAGGGCTTGTGGCTGTAATTCTAAAGAGTCCAGCTATTTTATAATTTAAGCTTAAACTACTAAACTTATTGCTGGGAACTGATTGCGGTTGCAGAAGCAGGGCTGATTTCTTTTCTCCCTACAAGCATGGCAGATCTCTTCAAGGCTGTTCTCCCTCTGTGCATCCACAGAATATACATACACACTCATATGTGAGCACACATGTACACGCCTTTAGTCTTCAGGAGAAATGTAATGGTTTATATTAAGACTGGCTCATCAGCTCCAACATTCTCATGTTACTATTTTCACTCTGTTAAAAAAAAAATCTTTAAAAAATAGAGTTTAGTCACTTAATCTTTAGTCCTGTGCACTAGATCCCAACTAGTGAGTCTGTAAAGTAATTTTTAAAATCTTCCCTTTTCGTTTCTTTGCCACAAAATGGGTAATATATATATATTATATATATATTATATATATATAAAATTGAACAAGTATTTTAGGGTGTTATAATTAAGGATTCCCAGGACTTCAAGTTTGGAAGAAAAATTCTTTCCTAATCCCAGAACTAATCTCCCAATTTGAAGGCCAATATTTCTTTGCAGATTTTTTTTTTTTTTTTTTTTTGTAGGGGGAGGCAATGGGAGTTTTATAATGGAAACTTCTATCACCAAAAATTAATGCAGCAAGTTCTTACCCTTAGAAGAAGCCAGTACATGCAGATTGAAGGAGTGCTCATCTCAAGCAGCAATCCCATCAAGGGTAGATAGTGTCCAGACTTTATGTTAATTATCAGACCAAGAAGCCCACCAAAGGCAAATAAATGATGAACTACCAAGAACACATCACATGTCCTGAAAACAATATTAGACACATGAACAACTACATTTTCAAACAAGATGAAGCCAGAGGCTATTAAGCAATGAAACCAACTCCACTTTTGTTGTGAATACACTTTGTCAGCTTGAAAAACTGGATCTATGAGCAAGGCCCACAACCCAGCTACACAACTCTGAATCCCAAGCAGGCCACGAGTGATAGCTATATTCGAGAAGACTTTGTCCTTTCCTGACAAAGTGCGATAACTGGCACTGATCCATGAGGCCAGCCAGTGAGCTAGAAGAAATACACCCAGGTAGATGAAAAATCCAGCTGTTACTAACTTCAAACGAACTTCCCACAGAACATAGTCCCAATCAAATATGACACTCAAGGTTTCACCAGCATATGCAAGATTCATTTCTTCTTCTATAATTCAAAATATTTGGAGAGAGTCTGAAGCGTATCACCCACACGTTGGTCTATATTAAGGCTACTGAGACTTTGCTGTTACGCGGAGCAGAAACCCACCTGCAATTAAAAAAAAAAAGATAGAAGAGACTTGAAGAGAATGGCTGTGTGCGTGTATTTTACACACACTCCCCATTTATGAAAGCTCACTAGTTTCACTACAGTTTAGAGTTTGTTTCTCTTTCCACTGATATTTCCAAACAATTTAGAACTGACATAAAAAACCTACTCAAGGCTGATAATTAGCCTTCAAGATCTCTACTGGGTATATAAATGAGAAGATGAGAGAGGGAAACTCCTTATTTACTTGCTGGCAGAACGATTAGTGTCAATGGATGTTACAGTCACAAAACCTTTACTTTTTGTTCCCAAGTTATATAAAAATACAATACTTTTTCCTGATCTTTTTTCCTTACTGGTTTTTCTTTCCTTCCTGTTACTTCTACATATGTAGAATATATGCTATCCTTTATCTTCAAGTCTTCCTTTGCCTTTATAAAGCATTCCTCAAGAAGTCCATCTGACTGAAGTGTTTTGCTAATGCTACTGACAACACAGCTTTAAAACAATCTTTCACCAACTTATATGCCAATAGCATTCCTCCCACCTTTCCTCACAGAACACTTGAAAATTGTTTTATGACCAATGATTTTTACTTCTAACAAAGTTAACATTCCAGGTGTGAACAGAAACAACTCCTGTGGACATAAACGAAGGGGGCCAGTGCTAAAGGGAGAAAAAACACAACCACAACTGAGGTTTATAATTCTTTAGCAGCATATTTAAGCATCACTGAACCTTCATTTTTCACCTGTAGAGCCCTATGGATATGTCTACACAGTGAGTCTCGAGCCCCGATCTACACACTCGGTCTTGTGCCATTGTGCTACAGACTCAGTCTCGTGCTACAACACTAAAAACAGCTGTGTAGATGTTCAGGCGCGAGCTTGTATTCTGAAATCCAGGGAGGAGGTGAGTTTGAGAGCCTGAGCCACGACGTCTACAGTGCTGTTTAGTACCATAGCGTGAGCCTGAGTATGTAGACTTGGACTCTGAGACTCGCTGCCATTGGTTTTAAAACACAGTAGACGTACCCTTAGAATTTTTAGGAATCAAATGTACACACCCAGTTTACAGGGTATAGATCAAAACTGCAACAAACCAGCCACTATGAGCCTGATTCTCATTTACGCTAAGGCCACTTTACACTGCCTGGAAGTATAAAGGAGCCCTGAATTGTTGGAACAGAATAACATGGCTGTGATGTTATTGATGTGAACTGTGACCGTATAGATCATTGTTGCAACCAGGGTCCTATGGTTGCACCAGGTGCTGTACAGAGGAGGCCAAGTGGGGTGTCAATGGGAAGGTTGTAGTTTGCTGGTTATGATTATGCTCTCTGTATGTGTGTATCATTTTTGTATTCGAAGTTATGAATATTGGCTATGTACTTGTTTGAGTCTAAATAGCCTTAGTAAAGCATTTGGTCAGCTTCTTGAGAAAGAACTATTTTCAGTAAGTGCCCAATCAAGAAACACTTAACTGACAATGGACTTTGGGAGATGCCAATCCACATCTGAGCTTTCCTGCGAACGTTCAAACTAACATGTAAACAATGGTGTCAGCCTGCAAAAAGCTGAATCATTGCCTAGGTGACTGCAAACTCCATCTTGTTGAGAGGATTTTACACAGGAGAACAAAGGGGTTTCCACCCACAAGAGAAAGACAATATAAGGCCCTGGAAACCCCTCCATTTTGTCTTCAGCTGGCTCAAGAGATAGCCTCTCCACCCCAAGAGATGCCTGAAAGAAACTGAAACAAAGTAACTATGGGGGTGTGAGTGATTGCTGGACCCAGACTAGGAAGGAGTCTTGTCTGTGAAAGAAGCTTATTGGAACATCTCTGAGAGTGAGATTTACCTGCATTTAGTTTCCTACTGTATTAGGCTTAGCCTTGCATGTTTTTGTTTTATTTTGCTTGGTAATTTAATTTGTTCTGTCTGTTATTACTTGGAACCACTTAAATCCTACTTTTTATATTTAATAAAATCACTTTTTGCTTATTAATTAACCCAGAGCAAGTAAGTAATTCCTGGGGAAGCAAACAGCTGTGCATATCTCTCTATCAGTGTTATAGAGCATGAACAATTTAGGCGTTTACCCTGCATAAGCTTTATACAGAGTAAAATGGATTTATTTGGGGTTTGGATCCCATTGGGAAATGGGTATCTGGGTGCTAGAGACAGGAGCACTTCTTAAGCTGTTTTCAGTTAAGCTTGCAGCTTTTGGGGGACATGGTTCAGACCTGGGTCTGTGTTTGCAGCAGGCTAGCATGTCTGCCTCAACAAGACAGGGTACTGAAGTCTCAAACTGCCAGGGAAAATGGGCTCAAAGGTAGTCTGAGCACATCAGGTAGCAGTCCCAGGGAGGTCGCTGTGACCCAACCCACCACAGTGGCCTCAATGCAAATTGCGCCCTATATCTATAGTACGTATGTACACACACTTTATTATTTTGTCTAGGAAAAAAAGAAAATCAATAATGTTATAAATATTCTTCTTTATTATATGTTTACATAAATGGACCTTTGATACACGCAAGCATGTACTATTGGCCTATTATAATTAGAACTTTAAAATCTTTTTCTATATGAAGTCATATTATGAAGAATAAATAAACTTTTCAGAGTTAAAAAAAGACAGCCCTCCTTTGAGTTCTCTCTTCTGTGACGTGTTTTAATTATGCATGCAGCATCACAGATATTCGCGTTTGTAGGTCTTGCATACACAAAGAAAAACAGAAGTAGGGAAACAGGTTAACAATGGACAAAGCATGAATTCCCAAGGGGTCGTGTAAATAATATGTAGCTAGTATATAGAGAAATAGAAAAAGAGTAAAGCGTGATAGGCTTGCAGCTGCAGCTTTGCTTACAAGTAGTTTGTAGCACATGGATAGCTCGTGATTCATACAGGGCCTATTTGACTACTAATTCTGTGAATCATAAAGCATGTGATACAATGTAGAATATAATGCAAGTGTTAGTCTGTTTTAGAATATGTATATAATCTGATTTATAACTATGTACTTTGGAGTTGTGATGCACCCTAACCTGCCCCACTACATCTGAGCCTGATCACCTCAGGCGCAGATTTCTGAAATGCCAATAGAGAAACGTTAGTGATGAGCAGGGCCGGCTCTAGGCACCAGCGCTCCAAGCATGTGCTTGGGGCAGCACTTTCCAAGGGGCGGCACTCCAGCCCCCCCCCCCCTTTTTTTTTTCTTGAGCCACAAAAAGCCGGGAGACGGACCTGAACCAAGATGTTCCCTGTCAGCTGAGGCTTTCAGGCTGAGTTGGAACTGCCACTGCAGTTCTGGATGCAGTCACCAGATGGCGCTCATGGCAGCCTGAGTCGCACAGGCTGGACTGCAGTTCAGGCTGCCCTGCTGCTGGAGAGCCGGAGCATCATCCCCCGGAGCTGAGCCCGGGCTGCGGTGGCGAGAGGGGCTCAGCTCCAGGGGATGATGCTCTGGCTCTCCAGCGGCCGGGCAGCCTGAACTGCAGCCCAGCCTGGGTGTGAGGAGCCGGGGAGGGAGGGAGGGAAGTGGGGCCCGGGATGCAGGGAGGGAGGAGGGGTCCTGCTGCCGCTGCTGCTCTGAGTCACCCCAGGGCGGCACGGCGTTTCCCCGCCCGAGGGGGCTGTGCAGGGTGCTGCCGGTCTGGGCAGGGGGCGCAGATCCCGGCTCGCGCTCTGATAGGGCGAGTGGCTGGGCAGCCCGAACTGCCAGGGAGCTGCCGCCGCCCCCTCCTGCCCCCGGACCCAGCCCACCATGCACCTCCCCCGCCTCAGCCCCACGCTGCCTGCCCTGGGCGGGGAGAGGCAGAGCCCGGCTCCGAGCGGGGCAGCGGGGGATACTGCCCTGACGGGGGACCCCCGTGGCTCAGGCACCTGGGGGTCAGTGTCTGTCCTCTCGGCTCTGCCTGGACGGGGCTGGGGAAGCAGCTGTCAGCGCCTGCCCCTCTCAGCCCTTGTATCCCCCATCTCGCTCGCAGCCCCTCCACTTGTACCTCCCCTATTGCTCCTTCGCTGCACCCCTTCCCCTTGTACTCTCCCTTCACCCACACCTCCCTTGTACCCTCCCCCAGCCCTCTCCTCCCACACCTCCCCCCTCCCCTGCACCTCTTCTCCCGCAACCCTCCTGATACCCCCTCTCCTCCTCCGCAAGTACATCACACGCCGCCTCTCTGCCAGTGTAGAGCCCCCAAGCACCCCCACACCCACTCCTCTGCCTGAACCCTCTTTACTAGCTCCCCATCCCTTTCTGGGTACAAGGTTTGAGGGTTAGTCCCTATGCCTTCCATGTGCATTTGGAGCACTAAAGATGGGGTTGCAGGGGCGAGATTCATACTAAATTGAAATAAAAATAGGAGAAACGGTTTGATCCCCACTGCAAGTGTATATGGGGATTGCTGTGGTGAACAAGGAGGTCATGTTGGGGGGGAGCTCAGGGTGGGGCAGCAGGGGGTGCGGGTGGGAGAGGGCACTGGTGGGGGTGGGGGGCAGCCAAATTTTTTTTTTGCTTGGGGCGGCAAAAAACCTAGAACCGGCCCTGGTGATGAGTCCTGATTTGGACTGAGTTTTTAGATTCCAGAGAACTGGATAAAAAAGGGTTCTTGCAGAACTGAAGTGTTCTGGATAAGTTGAGTGGAAAAGGTCTTGGAGGGAATCCCAACAATGTTTTGCTTGCAATTTGGAATATCAGACACCAAAAACAGAACATAATTCTATGAAATGATAGTCTAGTTCTAGTAAATGCATGAGTAAGGGCTTGTAGGATCATCTTGTGAACAAAATTGTATGGTCAACTTCTGAACAGAATCAGACCACATTCTGAAAAGGTCTTTTATTCCTGAAGCTAATTAAGGACATAGCGAAACAACCTTCTTATTGTCCACCCCAGCATCACAATTATTATTAATTGTATAGTCCCGAATTTTTAAGCTTGGGGGCATAAAGTTAATTAAAACTTCCTCCACATGGTATGGTTTAAACATTTTCTTATGTTTTTGTTTTAAAGTATCTATGAGCACAGGTCCATTTTGCTGACGCATTGGTCTAGATTGCCATGACCACTGGACACAGCACATCCTGACAATGTGGCCAGTGGGAGAACTGCCCAGAGTGTATCTAATTTAACACAGTTTGACTGGCAGGTCTGGTGGGAGGCAGAAGAGGAAGCCATATGGATTGTTAGCAGCATAAGTAAAAAGCTTACAAAAGAGATGCCTTCCCTTCCTGCTCCCCAATATAATAAATAATAGAAAAGGAGGATGGCAGCCTTCTAGCTAGAGAGCAAAGAAATATTGCTTATTTATATTCTCAGAGGGCCTGATTCTGCTCTCCTTTGTACCAGAGCAACTCCACTGGCCCTTCCTTCCCATTGCCTTGCATCCTGAAACAGTGAGAGAGTTAAGAATTCTAATTTGGTAGCATTTTACACTCACTCTCCACAGATATACAGTAGAATGGCAGAATTACGTTTGTAACTCTGAAATGTTCATAACTCAGAACAAAACAATGTTTTTTCTTTCAAAAGCTTACAACTGAACATTGACTTAATACAGCGTTGAAACTTTATGATGCAGAAGAAAAATGCTGCTTTTAACCACCTTAATTTAAATGAAAGCAGCAAAGAAACAGTTTCCTTATCTTGTCAAATCTTTTTTTTTTAAATCTTCCCTACTGTTCAGTAGTTCACATTTAACACAGTACTGTAGTGTATTTGGGTTTTTTTGGCTCTGCTGCTGCTGGATTGCCTTCTTCCAGTTCCAAATGAGATGTGTGGTTGAAGGGTCAGTTCCTGACTCTGGTGACATTCTACTGTATATAACTAGGCAACATACAAGGAAGTGGAGAATCAGGCCATTAACGTCAGCATAGTTACAACGGTGTGAAGAGAAAGCCCCAGAAACTTTCCACTCTCAACTCTCCACAAAAAAAGACAAAGAAAAACACCATCCCCGCCACCACCACCAACATAGTTACATACAGCCCTCTAAATACGGTCGTTCACAGGCTGCGTGAAGTTCCCCTGACTTCATACAATAGCCTCTCCTGGAAGTAGAAGTAGGATGTTTTCTCAGCATTTAAAGAAAACCAGCAGTTATTTAACGCTGTCTAATCCCCATTTCCTCCTCCTCCTCCTCACAAGAAGGAACAGTAATGTTACTTACTGCCTGGTCTGCTTCAGTTACTCTGCAGTTTCTCCCCACAGCTTCTGCGCTTTCCTGTCTTGTGTTCAACAGCTGCACTCAGCCGAGAAGTCCGGGCTGCTTCTTCCACCCTTTGATGCAGAAGTAGCTGCCCCTGGAATGGAAATGCAACAGCTTGGAACCCTAGCTCGGCACAGCAGCAAGAAGAGACACCTGCACACGGAATAATGTTACTTATCACTTTTCCTGCCCCACCCTTTGTTTCCGCCTGACGTAAACCATCCCTCCCTCCCCGGAGGAGGGAATGGAGCGCCCCAAATAACCCTTACTTGCCAGCCGGACTCTGGGGTTGTTCACAGTTCTCCTTAGAACTTAATTTGCAGTGCGGGGGGGTCAGACCACACTCTGCCCTGGTGCTGCAGCCAAGTTTCGCGTTACACCGATGGAAAGGGCGATCGCCCCCCAGTACGGAGTCCTGACAAAACACTGCATGGTGGTGTGTGTTGTCATTGGCAGCTGCAGCTGCTAGGATGCAAAACATGTCAGGTGCAAAGCCAGCCTGAGCCCAGCTAGAACCACTGAGCTGTGTAGAAACGTGGGAGCTGGAACCGAGGGTCAGACTCCACCAATACCTCGCTGTGGGCAGGACGTGTGTGTGTGTGTCCTGCACAGAAATAGTGTGTCACACACGTGTTGTCTCTATCGTGCCTGGATTGTGCTATATGAAGGGGCCCCACGTCTTGTTATTTCATCACAGCTGCTAGGTTTTGCACAGCTTGGTGTGGGGCAGTTCTCAGCTGTCACAGTCATGGATTTCCTTCTCTGGGTGCTCCCCTGCTGGGGCTGGGGTGCAGCAGGATGGGCCCTGCAAGAAGTAGGGCTGGGGAATTGAGTCGGGGGTGGGTGAGGGTTGGCGAGCCCAAAGGCAGGGTGACTGGGGAGAGTCAGGGGGAGCACCTGGAGTAAGATGCATGGTGGCAGGGCCGGCTCCAGGCACCAGCCGAGCAAGCTCATGCTTGGGGCGGCAGATTCCGAAGGGCGGCATTTCATCTAATCTTTTTTTTTTTGCGCTTTACTGCTTTGGCCGCCCCTGCAGGTTTTTTCTTTTTGGTTTGCTGCTCCCGCCACCCTGTAGGGGGCGGAGGAGGGGAGCGCCCTGTAGCAAGCCCGGCAGGGCAGCCCGCGTCCTTCCCTGCCTGCCGAACGGAGCGGTGCAGCGGGAGGGGCCGTGTGGCAAGCGCCCCTCAAAAGGAAGCCCTGGCTGCCCTCCTTCTCTCTCTCTCTCTCTCCCCCCCACACTCCGGGAGTGCCCCTGCACCCATGCTCCTGCCACCCCGCAGGTATTTTTGTTTTTGTTGTTTTGTTTTTTCTTTCCTTCGCCGCTCTGGCTGGCTGGCCAGTTTGTTCCCCTACCTCCTCGCCGCTCCGGCCGGCCGGTTTGTTCTCTTCCCCCCCCCCCCCCCGCGCCGTTCCGGCCGGGGGCAGGTTTGTTTTCCTCCTCCCCTTCCCCCCTTGCTGCTCCAGCTGGCTGGGCGTTTTTTGCTTGGGGCGGCAAAAAAGCCAGAGCCGGCCCTGCTTGGGGGTTGTTTGGAGGGGGAGGGTGGAATAGAATAGGTTAACTGTGACGGTCGGGTGGGAGAAGTGGGTGAAAGAGCCTGGACCAGCTAGGCAGGGGTGGGTGAGAACCTCGGCATTATGGGGGGGGGGGGGTTACAGCAACCTCCTACAGTTTGCATCGCTTCCAATTAGCTTCCCCCACTCTAGCTCTGTCCCCATTCTGCTCCTTTCCCTGTCTGCCCCTCCACCTTCCGCCCAGTCCCCAGCTTTGCTGCTCACCGAGTCTCCTCTCGCTGTAGGCTGGAGCTGCTTCCTACTGACACCGACTGGGAACCAGTGTGGGGAGCGGGGCAAGCCCCGGTTAGGCGCGTTTCAGTTTCAGTTTGCATTTCTCATGCCCTAGAAAAACACGACCGTGTTTGTGTTCTCTCTTTTTAAAAATCTTAAGGTTTCCTATAAATATTAGGTTTTATTTATTTCTACGAAGGGAACCTACATTTAGGGATTAAATTACCTGATATTGTCCCTTTAATTATTAGGAAATTAACTTTAGAAGCCAACGTGTGACACTGAGATGGTCTGAAGCAGCCGGTCACAAGAGCATATTTTCTGGGGACAGCTAGAGATTGAAATTCACCTGGTGCAGGATTCAAATAAAACTCTAGCCACCAGTGATTAGTACTCAGGCTTTAAACAAGTAAAGTGAATTTCAGCCCTGCTGAACAAGCTTAAACCAGCTTTTCTATCTAGCATTTAGAATAAGGTCCATCTATTAACCAGGGGGAATGTAGATTATTCTGTACATAAGCAGTTTTTGTTTTACAAAAGATTGCTAGAGTTTTTAGTAGGTTGCTAAATTCTGCTGCCTCTATTTTTTTATTCCTAGTGTTGTATTAAAACAATATTCATATATTCGCGTTGAGAGTAGGCCCACCTTGTCCTTTGGGATTAAAATAGCATGAATAAAACCCTTAACCTTTTAGGTGTAAGGGGACTTCCTCCACGGTTCCCACCTGCAGGAGGCCTTGTACCTCCTGAGCAAGCAGATGCTCGTGAGAAGGGTCCCTAAAGAGGGACAGGGAGGGAGTTTGAGAGGGAGGGATAGAAATAAACTGGAGGGTATATCCCCCTACTACCATGATGAGGGCCCACTGGTCTGATATTATAGAGGCCCAGGCAGGGAGGAAGGGGAACAAATGGTTGGAAAACAACAGGGGTGCTGGATACAGGCTGGAAGGTTGCCCTTGGGTGCACTCTCAAATTGCCTGCTTGCTACCCAGTTGACTGCAGATAGAGCTCGAGTGAGCCGCGGTGGCTGGCTGATGGCCTTGGCGGCCCTTGAAGCCCTTGCCCTTCTCGTGAAAGGTCTTCAGTTGGGATTGGCTCCCAAACCTGTGGGACTGTTGCTGCTTGAACTGCTTTCTTGCAGGCGCCAGTGTGTAAAGGCCCAGCGAGCGCAATGTGGTCCTAGAGTTTTTCATGACATGTAATTTATTATCTGTCTGTTCCGAGAACAGAGCCAGGCTATCGAACAGGAGGTCCTGGATGGATTGCTGAACCTCCGCCAACAGGCCTGATGACTGTAGCCAGGATGCATGCCTCCTGGAAATGCCCGAAGCCATGGTTTGGGCCACACAGTCCACCACATCTGAGGCCACTTGGAAAGCTGCCCTGGCCACCACCCCGCCCTCATCATGGATTGCCAGGAACTCCTTCCTGGGGTCTTCTGGCAGCTAGTCCCTGAATTTGGCCATGAACTGCCAAATGACAGCTGCAGTGGCATAGGAGCCAGCAAACAGAGCTGTAAACAGGGAGTTTGAGTGGGAGTTCTGTTGGATGAGAAGGATTTAGGTTGGAAAGCTATGACAGATACAGAGGCAGCAATGGTAGTGACCCAAGCAGTGAAAGACACAATGAAGATGACTGGATGTGGAAGCTGCAGTATGTACATGATCCTGGAGGGAGTACCTGGAAAGAGTTTCGTCTGCATGAAGTGCCGCCAGATAGAGCTGATGGAAGAAAAGATCCGAGGATTGGAGATCCAGGTGGAAACTCTGGTTGAGTTTAGAAGGGGGTTCGAGCAGATGATGGCGCAAAGACATGAGGAGGCTGAAGGGAAAAGCTCAGACTTGCAGATGGAAGCAGGACCAAAGAACTCTGAGCAGAGACTGCTGGGAGAGGAAAGTGGACAGTGGAAGCATGTGACTAAGAGAACCGGGCAGCGGAAAAGACAGGCTAGTGAAGGAGAAATAGAGCTCAGGATCAGGTTTGCGGAGTTGGAAAATGAAGAAGGGGCACAGCAGGTGGTCACTGAAGGTGAGAGGGCAAGGAAGAAGAGAAGAGCAGCTAGTCCTATAGGAAGAGGGGAAGAGTCAATGGAGATAACACTAAATATGAGCCCCAGAAGGATACAGGATGGGTTGCAGAGGATTGCAAGGGAGAATAGGAATCAAGAGGACTTGCAGCCAGAGGGAACAGGGGATAGACTGGAGAACCGCACCATCACCAGGAAAAGACAGGTCTACATGATTGGGGACTCCTTACTGAGAAGAATAGACAGGCCTGTAACCAGAGCTGATCCAGAGAACAGAAAGGTGTCCTGTCTGCTGGGTGCTAAGATATGGGGTCTGGACCTGAGACTGAAGAGGATCCGAACGGGAGCCGGAAAGAATCCACTGATTGTCCTTCATGTGGGAATAAATGATGCGACTAGATTCTCGCTGGAATTTATCAAGGGAGACTATGCCAGGCTGGGGAAGATGCTTAAGGAAATCGAGGCCCAGGTGATCTTCAGTGGGATTCTGCCTGTTCCTAGAGAAGGGCAACAAAGGTGTGACAAGATTATGATGATCAACAGATGGCTCAGGCAGTGGTGCTATAAGGAGGGCTTTGGGATGTATGGCCACTGGGAGACATTCATGGACAGAGGACTGTTCCCTCAGGATGGACTTCACCTGAGTAGGGAGGGAAATAGACTTCTAGGATGGAGGCTGGCACAACTGATTAAGGGCTGGTCCACACTAACCCCCCAGTTCGAACTAAGATACGCAACTTCAGCTACGTGAATAACGTAGCTGAAGTCGAAGTATCTTATTTTGAACTTAAAGGTACTTACCGCGGGTCCAGACGTGGCAGGCAGGCTCCCCCGTCGACTCCGCATACTCCTCTCGCAGAGCAGGAGTACCAGCGTCGACAGCGAGCGCTTCCGGGATCGATCCCAGAAGATCGATTGCTTACCGCCGAACCAGCGGGTAAGTATAGACGTACCCTAAGAGAGCTTTAAACTAGGAATTTGGGGGAGATGGTTGGGAGATGTCCAGGTAATCTCCACGCCGGATTTTAACATTGAGAGGGAAGAAAACGAAGTAAGAAAGGATACAGCCATGGGTAGGAGAATGGACATAAGGAGGAAGGGTAGTGAAGATGCCAGTCTATTAGGTGATACTGGCAGTAGAATGTCTGTGCCTAATTGGGTAAAGAATGTGAGCGAAGCCAAACAGCAAAAATTAAGTTGTTTATACACCAATGCGAGGAGCCTAGGTAACACAATGGAGGAACTAGAGTTACTGGTGCAGGAAGTGAAACCAGATATTATAGGGATAACAGAAACATGGTGGAATAGTAATCTGACTTGAGTACAGGTATTGAAGGGTATGTGCTGTTTAG